GAAGCTATTTAAAAGGGAAAGCCATCAATCTAACTAAATCTAAGAAAAATAAAATAAATTATTTACTTACAAACTTTCAATGATAGAAAACTGTTGTCCCGATGGGCGACCGAAAACAATTTAAGAGTAGGCGCACACCGTTGATTTTTCGTCGGCCGATAGTTTAGTCGGGCAGTTGATCAGTATGGGCATGTATGGGAGTGCGCACACTACGCCGATTCGATTTGGCCGATTCTTCATACAATTTAAAATCGGGCACAACTATCGGCCAACTAAAAATCAACGGTGTGCGCCTACTCTAAAAAAATCAAATAGGAATACGAAATATCCTTCTTATTATTAGCTTAAAGTTATACAAATTGTATAATATAGTCTGACTGAATACAAACCACATAATAAGTGTACTAATGAGGCTGACGTGCTTGTAAGCCTTGTAGTATCCGCTTGGCTATGGCTAGAGCTTCTCTGAAATACTTAACTTTGTAATAAGAACTTGTATTCCATGCTAGCTAAGTAGTAAACGCTCGGTTTAACTTTAAATAACACTTAATTGAATAAGGTATACATATAAGTATAATTATGCAGGATATAAAAAATGTGAAGTCTAGGAAACTAATTCAACTGAGTTAATTTTACCTACGATAAATTAAAAGTGGGGAAGCCCTTTTTTATTTAGCTGAAATATTAACTTTCGTAACAATATGTTACACCACAATGCAAGCGGCTGTACTTACATGTATGTGTAGTGTAGAAGAATTTAATTAATTTACCAAGGTAAAACATCGTAGGTATTTTTAAATTAACTATTTACGATGTAATAAAAAAACGTTTTTATGCAAAATCTGTAAGCAGTTCAATCCTAAAAGTTTGTAACAGTAAAACANTTAAAAAATAAACAAAACCACATCAAAAAGTATCGGGCGTTTGCTCTTTGATATGGTATTCATTCCACAGCCCTGAGCCGAGGTCTCATTTTGGTTGTTATTATTCTAAACACAACCGAGCACGATCATTCCCTGAAACTTTTTATGTCTGTGACACTTTTACTTCATATTTATCACCCCTCCAGTAATTCAGAAGGGGAATTTTTAAGTTTTTCAATTATATTAACAAATCACTCAGAATTTTGTTTTTCTTCCAAAGAGTCTCTTAAAAGTTCACAAGTACCTATGGAATTGCTTCGCGTAGCTTTTGCTCTCGTTACCACTCAAATAAATACTATGAAATAGAGGAAACCACTCACTAAGTAGGTATGTTACATATTTTATGAAGGAGAGATTTAACTTACCTACTATGTGTTCGTCATTCTACTATACCGACGTTTAATACCTAGTTATAGGTCAAATAAAGTGTCACCAAAGAGTACTACCATGACCTTTTTTTCTCATTAGACAATCTTACTTCATTTAAGTCACACGTCCTAACCAAAATGCGAATTGCCACAGTTTTATTTCTACCACTGTTTCACTCCTGAGGAATCGAATCCAAAACTTGTCGAGGGAGTCCTACTCTCCTAACGCATAACCGTAGAAAGGCTTTTAAAAGAGTTACACAAAACAATATGAACAAAAAATACATTCAGTCGAACATAGAAACTCCTCCTTTTTTGAAATCGGTTTAAAAATTAAGTATTTGCTATACTAGATAGGAAAATATTCCCATATTTGTCGTAGGTACACAAATCATTGCTTTTCCGAAAACGTATCGTAATAGGCCAATGTAAAGGCAATATTGTACAAAAACATCCAGTTGCTCGCCGAACTTTTGATACACACATGTCGCATAAAACAAAGCCTCCCTCCACAAAAAGTACAAAATACATTGTCGGCCGACGCCAGCATAAATTCAGTTACAAACAGCCTGACATTTTTTGTTTAATTGAGGAATTCGCGTTTGCGTCTGGTATACATACATGCCCAATTTAATTTTGTTTCAGTTTTTTTCACTATTAACTTAGTGTAAGGATCAATAGATTTGTCAATTAGGTACACTTGAAATATTGTGTGAATATGATCGAATCGTTCGATATGGGTCTCAATAATCATCGTTGCATTTCTATATTGCCTTTATCAAAAAGCCTGGAATATAGCTAACAAAAACTTAATTGCAAATAATATCAGTCGCTTGTGAAATTTTACTATAATCCAGAACGATTTAAAATTAACTGCATACGTGTAACGCTTCCTTTTACGCATTAAAGGTTCGGCCAAACTAGCGCGTGCACATCACGTTAGCGATGGCGATCACTGCGCGTGCATAGGCGCAATGTCAGGACGCGCCCAATTTGCCATTAGGCGATTATCACACTGCGCCGCGCTCCGCCGCGGAACGCGTGATTACATATACAAAATCCCGCGCGCAGACGCGTTGTCAGTGTGTTGTGCCGCGCGTTTTTTCTATACAAACTGAGGTACTTGCATACAATGATTAAATCTGTCGTCCCGCGTTCCGCGGCGGAGCGCGGTGCAGTGTGATAATCGCCTTAGCCTATGCACGCGCATCAATGTGTTAAAGTCGCCATCGCCATCGCGCACGCCGGCTGCACGCTTTGATTTGGCCGAACCTTAAGGCATGTAGGTTTCAGGACACGTTCCCCGGTACGTGTCCGCGAGTTACCGGGTTTACCCTATTTCCGTAAAGTGAAGTGCAATTAGGAACTTATCGCTGAGATACTGCCACAACTTAGCACTTACGCGGGAGCGACGTTTTGTATGCAGTTATGCTTTACAGTTGTTCGCAAAGTGAGATGGAGAAGGGTTCGTGGTAAACGTGATTTCGTAACAATGGTATTAAGGTTGTGTTTTGATACTTATTGCTATCTACTTACATGTTATTTTAGGTATTATCCCGCAGCTGAAAAGTCGATGTTGATCTTTGGTATCGTAGGTCCCAAACAGATGAACTGATTTTGGTTTTAGGCTTTTTTGTCGAAAAGCAGTGAGCAAGAGTTGAGGTGTTCTTAGCTTTCACTCACAATATTATTGTTGGTCATTTATCGATCAAGAAGCGATAAATAAAACAAAAATTGAAATACCCGAAAAGACACGATGACGTCAATAGCATTGTCAATTGACAAACAATTTTGAATGTTATCTAACGTAGCTCTACAAAAATATTATATTGCCGTTTGTTCTAAAACAAATCCAGTCACAATTGCAATCAATTTGGCGTAGTTAAACATCCACTCGTTTGTAGGGGCAATCGTCAGAGGAATTAAATTAATTTTATAAAACCAATGTGGCGCTAAAATTTTTTAAATGGACAGTTAAAAATAACTAAAGTTTTGTAAGAAAAAAAATTATTACTTGTACTGATGAAAACGTTTACAAACGTGTCTGTTAAAAATTTCGGTTTTTTCATAGGTTTTTATACAAATTAATTTGTCAACATCATCCGTTGTTAATTCGCAAACTATATTGGTATTAATTTATTTAACAACACAGTTAATAAATTCCATTCTTTTTAATGAAATTCCTTCCTTGAAATTCGTTCGCATTCCAGCTTATTTTCAAATGTGCAAAAAGAGTAGGTACATACTTAATTATATTTAAAAACTAGCGACCGCCCGCGACTTCGTACGCGTGGATCCCGTTTTACCCCCTTCATCTATCTTACGCGGTTTACATTTAGATGTTTTTTCCCGCTAACTCCCGTTCCCGTGGGAATTTTGCAATATCCTGTTGTAACTAAGCTTTAAATTTAATAAGATACCTGCATGCCAAATTTCAAGCGTCTAACTTAAGCGGTTTAGATTTTTCATACAAAAGGATTTTCCCGCTAATTCCGGTTCCCGTGGATATTTTGCAATATGCATGCCTTTCAAGCGTCTAACATAAGCGGTTTAGATTTTTATACAAAAGGAATTTCCCGCAAATTTTCGTTCCCGTAGGAATTTTGTAATATCCTGTTGTAACTAATCATTAATTTTACTAAGATACCTGCATGCCAAATTTCAAGCGTCTAACTTAAGCGGTTTAGATTTTTCATACAAAAGGATTTTCCCAATAATTCCCCTTCCCGTGGGAATTTTGCAATATCCTGTTGTAACTAAGCTTTAAGTTTACTAAGATACCTGCATGCCAAATTTCAAGCGTCTAACTTAAGCGATTTAGATTATTCATACTAAAGGATTTTCCCGCTAATTCCCGGTCCCGTGGGAATTCCTAAGTATACTATAACCTGCCCAGGAGTACGAAGAATAATTGTACTAAGTTTCGTTAAAATCCGTCGAGTAGTTTTTGTTTCTATAAGGAACATACAGACGGACAGACAGACAAAAATTTTACTGATTGCATTTTTGGCATGTTATTTGATAGTTATTTTGAAAATATATTTCATGTACAGAATCGACCTCTCTACAGATTTATTAAAAGTATATATTAATCATACCTACAGCTGCAGTCTCATTTTATTAAACTGTAATTAATCGTTTATAATTGTTTTATTTATTCGTGAGCACATTAAGTATCGTAATTGAAATGTATCTATCGCCTGAACGAGCAGGGGGATGTTATGTGGTGATGCTACGAGTAATATTGGTGTTGTATCTTCCTACTTAAAATTATCAGATTACCTACAAATACAAAACACTGCTATTTGACATAGTAAAACATTCAATCAACAAATAAAGATTTCTGGATACTGATTCCCGACCTATAAAACTAAAAGTTGTAAGTTTATCTTTGTTTATATTCCTGAAAAAGCTCTTCTCCATCGTGTAGACTGTAGCCATTTTTCAGACGAAATCAGATCGAATCAATCCTAAAATTTTGTACCAAACTTCTACACAATGTTATACACACTATGGGAATCGAACCAGATTAAAACCAATCCCAGATAGGTACTTAATTAGTTAAGTAGTGAGTCGAACAACGTAAAGTACTGAAATACAAAGGTAAAAGACTTATTAAAAGTTATTAATTACAATTCCCTATAAAACAACGTACTTAATGTAATAGGGTACCCGAATACAAATAAAGAGAGTTTAAAAAATAAACATGTTTATGTAAGAAAAATTTATTCACAGTTTTGTTTTACATCAAAAGCTTGATTACATTAACTTATGCTAACAGTCATGTTCGCTTACATTAGATTTATCTATTTAACAAAACTAAATATACTTATGTTTATGGTATTATTTTTAACTAGTTTTTTCATGTCTATTTTGTCAGCGCTTTCATTTATGAACGAGTAAGGTTAAATAGCCTCACTATCATGTTTGTAAATCTAGTTCTTGAAAATCTATACATATGTACTTATACCTGCTTGCTTATATTTTATTCTTACATTTATATTGTGGTCAATTGTATGCCGTAAAAAATCTTTTTATATTTACATTACGCAATTTAGATGTTCTACATATTTTCTAGAACACAGAATGAAAACTTAGATTGTCTCAATTCTTTTACGACTTACGTCCAATTTTCAAAGTTGTTTGTAAATTTAGAAGAAAACAGAATACATTTACAAATCCAGTTGTATTTTAAATTACCATTTATAAACTAGTAACAGAAACAAACAATATCACAGTTTTTCGCCAATTCAACAACAATTTTCAAAGTAACAAAGTCATTATGATTTATCGCTAACGTTTAATATTAATTACGTAGTTTAAGATAACATTTGTTATAAAGCCTAGATCTTTTAGGTAAGTATACAAAATCTAAAGGCCGATTTTTCAATTATTATTTTTGTCTGTAAAATCAAATATTTTCCGTCTGGTCAGGACTTAGAGGAAATTGAAAAAGTTTTTATAGCATTTATCTTTAAAAGATAAGTCAAACAAAACTTAGTCTTAATTACTAGGTGCAGCCATTCTTACGTATATATTTTTATAAGTACTTTTATTTAAATTCAATAGAAAGTTTATAATATTCATGTATAGTCAAAACAATTTAAAACAATTGTAAGTATTCTATACACTATGAAGATGATCGATGGCGCCGATGTTGGGGCACCTGTAAAAAAATATTCAAGTTTACATTATAGATAGGTATTTGCCTATTTACACTTCATTTTCAATTTTTAACACCCTTATGTAATTTATGTTCTGCAACTATGAACAGCAAAAATGTGACATTTAGGGTGAGTTGCACCAACTAACTTTGACCGTAACTTTAACGATAACCGGTGTTTTTTGTATTGAGTTTGACAGATTTTTGACGTTTGTCAAAATTAAAGTAAGATGGTGCAACCCAGCCTTAATGTTTTGCGATAAGTTCAGCAATGCGTTTTAAAGTCGGAGAATTAAGACAAAGATAGTACTGTAGGACAACGTTTAACTATTCATCTATTGAATGGCCTGTTAGCCTAGCGATTTATATACCAATATTTAGTTAACTACGTTGAGAAGGTTTTGGAATTAATCAAGCTTCACGTATCTTCTCCTGAATTAAATAACCTCTCCAAATGCATAAGTATGGAGTAGCTAAATTTTATATTGATTCCATTTTAATAGTGTTTCATATTTATGACATGATAATCCTGGGTTCTATTAGATAATACTTATTAGGTTGTGTTAGGAATTTGCTAACTTGGTTCTTGATTTTAAAGGTCATTTTGGCATTTACCAAAAATACTAAAACTATTCTGAATTAACCGTAGGTATCGTACCTGTATCTAATTGAAGTATTTATTCATGAACAATATGATACAGGTAGGCTGTTCTATGAAATTCGATTAAGCAATAATATTATTCTTGAAGTAGTTCTGTAAGAAGATATTTAAACCAAATATTTGTACATGATATCCAATATTGGCTACTGAATTACTGATGAAAACCACTGTCTTGTTTACATAGCTTATACAGTCGAAATCACATAAGATTTTGCAACATTTCTGTAGCAAAATAACCTCTATTTCAAGTACATAAGATGACACAGTTAGGTGAGGATGCCATCTTCTCTACAATAAAGTTAACTTACCATTTTCATTTGCTAGGCGTTCCTGAGGCTTCTCTACTTCAGGAGCTTCTTTGTACGCAGTCGGCATCAAGCCTGAAAACCGTTTTCTTATTAGTCAGACATATTTTATTTGTGGCAAAATAGGTCAATTTCACAATTTCACACAGCGCCAGCTAGCCCCAAAGTAAACAACTTAATCCTACTACTATAGATCGTTTCATCTACGAAGACGCGCCCCACCATTCTTCCGCTAACGTTTGAGTGTTATTGGTACACGCTAAATTATCCATGAGTGCACTACAATAATGACGCTCGGATTGCTCGGATCAAACTCCTCGCACCCCGTGCTTCCCTCGACCAAAAGTTGGTGGGGCGCGTCTTCGTGGATGAAACCATCTATACCACGTAAGATGCTCTGTATTTAGCTTGTTGAATACAGTTACCAGTTAGCAACACAATACTCATATCTAAGCATCATTTTAATTCAAAAACATCTTGTTATCTTTACTTAAATAACTTAATTACGGCTTCGTTCAAATTACTTTTGAATTATGCTTGTGTATTATACTCGTGTTAATTTGGACCTAGTAATGGAATCGGAATATTTTGGAGCTCATAATTTCTAGAGTTTTGTCCAAAAGAGATGGATGGATGGGAATGGGATACGTTTAGAGCAGTATACGAAATACTCTAGCAATGCAAGTAACACTCATCAGATTTTTGGCTAAGTTCAATCATAATTTTGGATTATTGCTAAAAAGGTATGAACGAAACATTCTCTAAGTACATTCAAATACCTTCATAGTACCTGCCCAGAAATTAATTATATTTAATTAATAGTTATTCGTATCGTCGTCCTCTTTTCTTGATCCTGGCTTGACCCAGTTAGAAACGATTTTACAAAAATAAAAACAACTCTTTTTAATTAAGTCTCAATTTTACACACTATTTACAATCTCAAAACATTTTCTCAGAGGCCTAATCTGTATTAATCTTGTTTTCAATTAGTAACAAGTAAGTTGTTTCGACACGGCCGATCTGTTAATCCAGTTAGTAAAATTTGATAAGCAAGCAGATTACTAATTTGGTCTATTTCTGCCGCGGCCGTGCAAGCGAAATCCTAATTAATACGGATTACGTAAATAACTAAATTTCTAATTGCTTTTTGCGACTAAGTATTTGACTGGATCAGGACCTGACCTGATGGTTTGTTGGCCGAATATAAGCCAGTTGTTTTGGGTTCTAATTCCGCTGGCAAACGTTAGTTTGACGCGAACATACTCATTTATTTATTAAAGTATAGCTATCCGTACCTATCTAGTCACCATCCATGGTACATACAAGCTCTACTTAATTTGGGAGTAACTGTAGGTAATATTATTAGTATTTAGGAGTAATCGTTTTAAAACATCATCATAAGGCTACAGTTGTTGGTTAATACGTTTCAGCTTTAAACCTTGTCTTCAACTTGTCGCATTCAATTTTAAAATCTGTAATCATCTATATTTATTAAAAAGCATTCCTTTTCCTGTGAAGCCCTAGTAAAGAAACAAAATAGCTTTTTTTCTGAACTACAGTCAATAAACCCATAAAAACCTCCGCGGTCGCTGCTATTGGGACAATGAATCACTATTGCATGCACACCATAAACTAAATCATACCTGGATGATATATCGTAGTTAGGTTAACTGTGTAGTTAGTGGACGGGAGACTTAGGACGCAAACGAACTCCTCCCAGGGCGTCGCCACGTCATCGTCGTGCACCACCGCCTGCGTCTCCACGGTGTACAGACCCCACGAGTCCATTCTCATGTCTGTCACGGCCTGACTCAAAGCCTTTCTGAAAAACAAAATTGCTCTCCTCGTAATTGCACAAAGGTTTCCGCCAACTCAAACAAGCGGTGAGTGATCATTTATAAAAGTACTCCGGAAAACTTAAATGAACACGATATGTGTCTCCCGAATTTATTTCGCTAACTATAAATCAATATTTGCAATTCAACGCAATTAATGCAATCAAATGGACCGTTTTAAAATGTCGTTGTTAGTTTACCAAAATAGTCAGCTTAATTAGTAGCGATTCAATAAATACCGTTATCCGGCTTACAGTGAATTGATTACACAATTTCCAGTAATGGCAGCAATTCTTTTGACTATTTCCTAAATTACCTGAGCTGGCTGCCAAGTAGATGCTAGATCTTTTGCTATCTGTAGCATTCGAACATATTTTATGCCAGATTGTAAAACAGAATTGTAGCGTTTCGCTACCGCATATTCTAAATTATTTTTTGATAAGAATAGAAAATGTTTAACTCTGCTGCTACTTCGAAGCAAGCACAAAATAATTTGCTGTGAATTTGTATCTGAATTTTAAAACGTAAATTTTTCGAATAGGAATTTCTTACCCTTGTGACAAAATAGTCATCACTGGTCGTGGGTACAAATCTGCAGCGACACAAATAAGTGTGACCAGGAATACATATTTCTTTTCTTGAATAAAACTAAAGCTCTTGCCGGTACCTGAAAGGTAAGGTCAAAATCAATAGTCACTAATTCAAAATTTAATTGCCTGAAAACAATTTTGTTGTCCACGCTCTAAGTATCAATTTCTAGTTGCCAAGGAAACCCTCTTCAAGACGAGGTCAAACACGAGTATAATCCTAAAATAATTTATATCTTACATTATTTGCGTAGTTCCTTGAATTTCTAATGATCTCAAATTCGTAAAATAAACGATGTAACAATATTAAACGCTCTGGAGCTCCTTAACACCAAGTAGGCATTGTCTTGACTGATGTATGGATAATTACTTTTCACACCCTAGAGCACTTTTGACGAAGTCGCGAGTAGAAATGACAATGTGTTTTTGTTAATTGTATAGAAAGTGTAACGCAATATCATTTACCTTAAGAAAATAACTAAAAATCGTGTCTATCTACTCAGGGAAATCTAAAAGAAACGACTGCAAAACAATCTGCGATTTTTTAGATTTGTTTAATAATCTTAGCTTTCACTTGATCTCTGAACCTGGTTGTATTTATTAAAGTAACCATTAAGGAAGCAAAGAAAAGCGCCCATCTTAATCCATTTTACTTATCGCAGATTAACTGAGAGCTATTTTTTGAAAATAACAGCCGGATTAAATCCGGTTCAGAAAAACTTTGCCGTATTTGTAGAACGTTTTTACAAAATTAATTAAGCGCTAGCACTTTTAAAAGTAACCTTATGCTAAGCAAAGCATTGGGATTCACACAATCAATAAATTGCTACTTACGAGTACCTACAGCTATCGTTATTAGCTAACGTGGTGAACAAACCTCAAAAATCTGTCAAACTCCAGACAAAAAACACCGCTTAACGTTATAGTCACGGTTAAAGTTAAATGTTGCAACTCAGACTAAATGTTATTTTGATTGCCGAAGCCCTACTTTGGTAAACGATTTCTACGCCATCTCACAAACAGTTATTTCACATCATAAGAAATACTATTAATGTAAAATACTATGTGTTGTTTCACTATTAGCTTCCTGTGTCCGTAACCAATTGCCCGTGTAAGGCGCGCTTCTTCCGGTAGCAGCTATTTCAGACTTAAGCGTGGGTCTTGAGTAGGAGTTGATGGGCAAAGGGCGGAAGGCACAGAGCTAACTCGTTCAATCTACCTGCTTTATATTTATTAGGTTATTTTTATTTGAGTAGTAGTACCTAAGAAGACATATTTCTCTGCTCTTCTCACTAAACCCTCATACTGAATAGCTTTAGAGTTTCAAGCTCAATATTAGGTTTTTAAGCTAATCATTTCGTTTGAAAATACACCTACTTTAAAATTCATTTAAATATTTTAAATTCACAATAAAAGGTGTCGCTGTACATTTCAGATACTTTAATATTTGAATACTGAATAATAAAAATATAGGTAGGTAAGTATAAAATCAAATTATTTAAATATGTAGTTAAGAGGTGGGTCACAAGAGACGATATAAAATTAAACAACTTATCGCTCTTAATCAACCTAAATTACGATAAATATTATTCGTATTTTTCAGACCACATGTAAAGTGTCAGCCTAAATGACAGAACTAACCGACAGAACAAGCAAAACTAACCGAACTAACCCAATAAGCCACAAAAAACTGCTCACTTGGCTTCGGCCCGTGAACGACATTAAACCGGATTCCAGCAGAAAAACTTAACAATAATTGAACACAAACAAACGAATAATAATAATAATAAGTAAATTAAGTGTACCAATCTTTAAGACGGAAATAAATAAAAATAAAAAATAAAAATAATATGATTTATTTCTTGAAACAGAATATAGAAAATTTATACAGTATTGTTTGTTGGTTGTGTAATGTTAAACTTACTATAAACTAGCATGGATCTGGTTTGTCGGTCTTCCTCCAAAAAAGTAGAGACGACACACGTGTAGTTTCCACTCAGATCCGTGGTGGGTCTCAATATTTTAATGGCTCGGTACGCTTGCAATGGCTCCTCTGTAACAATAACAGAACTTTTTACTGCAAAATTAAATTATAATATCCATGAAAAACCTACCATCAATACGTGAAAAAAAATGCGATAAAGCCCATAAAAGTGAATTTTGCTTTTAAGTTTTAACATGCTTTTATAGTTTACGAAAATTAATTAACTATCAGCACTTTTGTTAACTAACTTTAAAAAACTTGTATTTTACAATATCCTATGTGTAAGCTTTATAAAATTTCTTGGAAAATTCATAAATGGTTTACAAGCACAAATTGGCTTTGGCTGAAACTCAATAGGTCGCGTGGATGTGACATGGGACGTGTAGGTCTACTGAAATTAATGTCAATGAAAGGGAATAAAATATACTCGAAACACTCGTACCTAGTTAAAATCTTCTCACAAGGTAGGTTAGAGTTTAGGGCACACGTGTAAAGAAGTAAGTACATACATACACAGATAAAAAAAAAACTACATGTTGAAAGTTTACGCCCGTATTCACAAACATTACTATGAGGTCTCACAGTGCGCGTGGACGTACAGGGTGACACACGAACCAATCACAGAGCTCTATTCAACGCTGGGCCTTCGATTTGCTGCTTCACTTACTTAAGTAAGCGTCGTTTGTGAATACGGGCGTTAATCTCTTCGATAAATAAACAGGAGTTTAAAAAGGCATTTTTATTAGCAATTCCACAGATTCTCCTAATATTCATCTTCTATTTTGTAGGACTTACCAGAGATCCTAAAATTTAAGTCAACTTTTCCTTTCAGCAGGCCAATGACCTGCGGGCGCATGGGCGGTATCCACTGGTAGACCAGGTTGGCGGACCCGTTGAAGAACCACTTCATGACCAGGCCAGGCGCGGGGCTTAGCTGTCCGGTGCTGTACTCGCAGTCCAAGATTACATAGTTCGTCCCCACTTCCACCAGAGCTGGCACTTCTATCCGGGTTATGTTCACTGCCACGCATTCTGTGAGGAGAAAATACATGATAAAAAAACTCATAAAACTGCTTTATTTTTGCAAATAGGCTTTTAAAAAGCACTTACACGTCCCAGTATTAACTCTACCACTGCTTCGGGACAATAAATGGGCCCGTGCTGAGAAAAAGCAGCTCAAGAAACTTATTATTAAAGTCATTATTGTCAGCCTTCTTTTTTTCAAATATAAATTAATTGATTTTAGGGCTACTATAAAGACATGAAAGCTCAAAATTCATTAGAGAAAGTCGTTTTTTAAGGTAGTCAGGTTGACGATAGTAGGGGAGACCGAGGAGAGTTGTGACATTTTCGATTTTTGGAAACCTATTAACTATCAGCGAGCTCAGAACAACGCGTATTTGTTTGCTTGAACTGAAAAACGCACAGTGTTACGAGCTCGCTAGTAGATAGTTCTAAATAATTGACAATGTCATAACTCTCTTCTGTCACCTGTTAAACTCACCTTGGTCTCCCCTACAAGACTGGTAAGAAAAGGTTTTTCCTTAAGGTATTATACACAAACAAGCCACGATCACTTACTAATAGGCAACGTTTAGTAACTTTAGACGAACGACTTGCGCCTGGTTTCTTGGAACCAATAGCAAGGATCTGATAATACACAATTGGAGAATGTTTACGAGTAAATGTACGTGTATACTCAAGTAGCAATGCTACTGTGGCGTATACAGGGTAGAAACGATAAGTGATCTCACTCCATTATTTACAAACTACACAACCTATTATTGATACCGTTTGATAGAACTCATGAAGCACTTTCAAGATCAGTGTGCTTACCATGAGTTTACGTAAGGTGTGCTCGCTAGCGACTGCGAAAAAAATGACATTAAATGTACGACATATATATTGTGCAGCGCCCCTAGCGGCTACTTTCAAGAAATAAAATCTACATAGATTTTTGACGTACTCTCTAGTGAGCACACCTAACGTTAAACTCATGGCAAGCACACAGTAACCATTTTTTGATATCTTATATAGTTTAGAAATAATCGAGTGAGATCACTTATCGTTTTCACCCTGTATCTAAGCAACACTCGTAGACCAATCGAATGTGTAAATATCATTATTTTGTCATTATTTTACCTATTCAAAATGTTCGTTTAAAATCAAATAACCTACTCGTTAACCTTGTTTATCAGCTTGCTGTATTGACCCGTGAGATGCGTTGTTTTAAGAAACCAAACATTCAGATAGCGTAGAGTTTTTGCGTTCAATATGTAAATATTAAAGGTTAATAGCAAACACGATTAACTCTAAGAAAATACGAATAGCTGTTTTTATAAGTCTGTGTTGATATTTGGTTTTCTGTATCTAATATACATAATAATATACAGTGCGAAGATTATATTAGTTACATGAAACCATATTCACCCACATTGAGATGACGTCATGTATGTTCCCTACTCCCTTTGAGATGACCTTTCTTTCAAAACGTTATTGTTATGGCTTTAAACATTAGTGGTAGGCTATTAATTACTAATGGTCAGTTTCATCGAAGGTTTTGATAAGTTTCAGATAGTTATCTAACAGATAAGTTCCTAATAAGCTCTCAGGAAGTTATCAGCAAGGTGAAACAGGCCCTAGATATAATGAGTTTGGTGTAACTTCTACCTATGCTTCTACTTAGTAACTTATAATAATGTCAAAATGTATTGTGATTAAACCTAGCAAAGAGTTTTATGCGTACAAAAATGATATTTATCTCTCGCTTATTACTTCATGAATAATACATTGTTGTCGTACTACTAACAATAATATGGTTATGAGCTTTCAAGGAGATTGAAATGGTGCTTTAATCTGAATAAATGCTAGATCCACAATAAATTGTACTTCCATTTGTTTGCTTATTGGTTAATAAATAATACCCATGGATTTACACATAAAGGATAAAACTCTCACGATATTAGGTGGACTGACGATCTGGTGAAAGTCGCGGGAGGTGCCTGGCGCAGGACCGGTCGTTTTGGAAAACCTTGGGGGGAAGCCTTTGTCCAGCAGTGGACGTCACTTGGCTGAACCGAACGAACGAATATTACGAACTAAAATGAAGAGTTATACAATGTGTAACATGTTATTGTAACACAATAAATAGTTCGCGAGAAGTTGGGCAGTTTGGTTCTACAAACTGTAGAGTAGGAAAGTAATACTCGATATTGTTTTCTGTAGTTAAAATAGATGTTCCAACCACACAGTTCACTGAGTTTGGGTTTTCTATAGTGCATGTTAAAGTTGGAGAACGTTTAAAATGTAATATTGGGGCTCATGTGTCCATACTAATCATAGATATCTACTAACGCCCTTATTCACAAATAATGCTTGCTTAAGGGAAGCAGCAAATCGAACGCACAGCGTTGAATAGAGCTCTGTGATTGGTTCGTTTGTCACCATGTACATCCACGCGTACTGTGAGACCTCCATAGTAATGTTTATAAATACGGGCGTAATACTCGTATAATATTCGTATGACAGATTCATAACATAGTCAACTTTTTATCGTAGAAATTAATCTTGAAGGGAGTAAAATAGGGGAGGGGAGTATTACGGAGAATAAGTCATACCTAGGAAGCGAAGCCACGTGTAAAAGCTAGTGTAACGTTTAGGTACTTAAAAACGAGCCAAAACTGAGCAAAGATAATAGAAATCAAAATACTACGAAGAAAATATAACGTATCTACCTACTTATACAGGATTTAGAGGACAGATTGGGAAAAATCTTAAGCTCTGAGTGCAGATCAAGCTTCTTAGTTGAAATCCAATTTCCTCTTGGAGACGTCTCTCTAAATTTAATAAAAATGTTTAGCGAAACTGTGTAAGCTCTATTTGCATTTAAATGTGTCGATTTTTTAAAACTTGTAGCATGGTCCAGTGCAGGTTTCCGCGAAAGCCACGTGGAAAATTTAAAGTAAGTTAAAATTTAATTTATAAATGAAACAAGTTCATTGTTCCAGTCATGTGTCATTTACGAAGTAAATTTGACAGCTCGTAATTACAGCACGTTTCGTAAAGCTTCATGTAAAGCTACATTAATACAAAAACGTATTACCACAGAATAATAATAAGTATGGTATTACCGTTTGCCTCCTGTCCCGTAAAATAGAATGGACAAAAATTTCTTTAACACAGAACCTATAACCTATAGAACACATTCTACTTACTTATAAGTATAACCTAACCACTTCTGTAAATTACTAAAGGTAACATAAACTTAAAGGTAGACTAAAATATATCTCAACTTAGTTAACTAAAACAAACTGGACGCCGATATTTTGTACGTAATTTAATTTAGATCGTTTCTAGTTTTCTAATATGATTCCCTAAATTAAGCTTTCTGGTATACATGTTCAGGAGCTTTAACTGAAACCAAAATACCCTTTTGACACGAATGTTCACTTCCATTCTGCTCTAACTCCGTTAAACTAAATTGGATATATTACTTCGCACGTCAGTAAACTTAAGTTTGGCATTTTCGTAATTTTGTGCTTAATCAACGTCAACCTTATTTAAAGTTCTTCTAGAACTTTAAGTAATAACTTTGGGTATTTTTCGCTTTTAATAAACACGTTGGTGTTGTAATGATATTGTTGCTAGTTAGGTAATGTATTAGCATACTTTAGAGCTTATCTAAATAACCACAGTTTGCTCATACCTCATAGGTACCTGTGAGAACTCATACGTACATAAAATAGGATCTAAATATGGGGATGTGGGTGTGAGAGCGTGTGGCCAACGTTTAAGCGTATATTTTATGAACCTAAACTTTTTGAAACTCACATCATTTTTATTTAAGTATATTAAATGTAGGTACAACTTTTGAAATAAGCTTGATAACATTCTGTAAAATGTATTGTAGGTATGAACTGAAGTATCGATTCAGTACCTGGGTAAAATTTTTAAAACACCTTAAAGGGAAAACAAACAAAGCCTCTCTTAGTGTTTCCGTTACCTAATAAATCTCTACTTTCTAGACCGAGTGATAAATTAGGTCGAAAATCAACCAAATTTAATAAATTGCTGAGACTTCGTAATTAGTGAGTTGTTTCTACCACCTCTTCTCACTACATCTAACATTATGAATATTCATATTATTAAGTGAAAATCGAGTAAACTAAACATTACATTCTCTTGCTTCAAAGCAAAATGATGGAATCACCTTATTTCATCCGAGCGATCTTAAGAACTAAATTACTAATGAAGATTAATAAAAAATGGGTACCATCAAAGGTTATAATTATAAACTCTAAATAGATACCGTGGCACCTCCTACATACCTATCACATAGCTCGAAACAAAATACAAAAAGGCCGGTGGTCCATACTTGCTCGTAAGCAGATATAGATAGAAATCAATCCGCCTGTATACACTCAATTTGTCATCGGGCTTATGATAATCCTCAACGTATACAAATAACAGATGCATGATATATGAGTATTCAATAGCTGTATATAGCTTCTATAGTGCACGTTTCAAACCTAGATCTATGCCCATTGCGTTCCATAAGCAAAAGGAATGGTTTGGATGCACAAAGCCTTTGAGCGGTACCTTAACCACAGTAAAACAAAGGACCAATTGTAGCCCGAGAATATGTCGATATTATGTTATGCCACGTCTTACAAGTAAGTATAAGTACGTCTTACAATAGGTACATAGTATAGATCAAGGCCCAATCATTCAAAAATATAATATAAAAACCTTCCAAAAACAATATCAGACTGATGAGTGATCAGGTTCGTTTAAACATTCCGCCACCAATTTTATTGGGAAAATTGAGTAGCACATGTTTTTGAAGTTTTGAGTAAGATATACTTAGGTATTATTACCTAATGAAAACAGAAGTAAAAACATTGAAGGCTAACATCAATGTAATAAATACATCAGCGCTTTTTCCCAATGCATGTTATTTCCATATGTATCATCATCAACATCATATGATAATATAATCCACATGGATAAAGACAGAAAATCTATTTTTTCTAATTTAAATTATACCTACTTAATCCACAAAGTTAACGTTGCAAGCAACACTAGGGTATAATAATTACTTGTTTCGCAGATATCATCTGCTTCCATCTAACACTAGAAAGTTGCGACGAAGCAAACGCGACTCGACAGACTCGACGACTTAATCCAATAAGCTTTGTGTTATACACCTATTTTAAAATGAGATGAATCCAAGTAGATATTAAAGTGCTGCTTTAGGTTCTTCTTACGTGATTTTGAAGTTATTAACATGAGAACGTTATCAATAAATGGGATATTTGAAACCTTCAGTGGGCTAGACTGGAATGCCCGAGGCTAAAAGTTCGAGTCTTATTGGAGATAATTCATGTTACCTGTGTGTTATCCGTGTAAAAGATATGTTTATAAAAAATAGATGGACCCAACGTAAATGGCAAAGAAACTGTAAATTATTGACTTACAATGCAATGAATGTGTAAAGTAATTATAGTAAAATGCTTACGTGTCAGAAAAAATATCACCAACGCAAACATTTTTAGTAAATTACACAAAATCCACGCGGCATAACTGAACCAAACGTGACGCTAATCAAAAATCTAAGATGACGAGAAAATTACACTCGACGAAAACTTCGAGCACGCAATACACCCACAAAGTAATACAAATGCAAAAACTAGTGTATCAAAACGCGATGGCAACTGGCGCACAGGGTAACATGCACGAAACGAGTGCAACAATCCATAGTCCTTTGTTAATTAAGTTCTCAAAATCTTTTTTAGTTTGCACGAAATATTTTACGAGAATTTGCCAAAAGTGATGCGCGGGCTTCCCTCGACAGTCAGGGGTGGCAAACGACTAAAAGTTTCAGCGCGAACAATATTACTTATCAATCGCGCATGCGTGCTTGACCCGCCTGTTGAGTGCCAGCTCTTAGCAACTTTCCTTAATTTAATAACACCTTGAAGACTCTTTGGCATATTTAAAGCATAAGTTTGAAAACGAGGATTTTCCAAATTTTGGCTTCCGCATAACCCTGGCTTTGAACCAGTGTATTAAGGTTAATGAAGTAAGTAGGTAAGTAGTTGTTTAAACCATAATAGAGGGATTTCTAACTTGTATAATTACTTATACAAGTTGTTATACACTTTATTTAAACTTCATTTGTATAATACATATGTATCGCGTCCATTACATTTGAAACTTAGAACAACAAGTCTCAAACGATATTTATATTCATAAATCCTTAGTACCTACCTAATTTCACTGTCTGTGTTGCTGATGAATCACCACCCCGTACCGCAGTTCCAGCTACCAGACCACCGCATTAATGAGAAAACAGTTGGTACAAGTGAAATGTAGCGCGGCTAAGCTTGGATAATTAATATTTATATACCTAATAGTCTCAGTTCGAGCCTGGAGTCTAGCAGTGCAGTGCTTGCACACATATTAGAGCTGTCTTTCTTATAAAAGGCGTATGGGAACAAGAGGCATCATCATTAAGTTGAATTAATTTGGTAGAAATGGCAAACATTTTAATTTCATTTTAGTTTTACCTGGCTCATTATAAATTAAAGTGACCTGATGAATTTAACTTTGTTTGTAATCTCTGAAAGAAAATACAGTTAAGGATTTTTATTCGTTTTTCATGTAGAAAAGGTAAGTATCTCGAAAGATTAACGATTAAATAAGTCAGAGAATATTACCCCACTGAGAGCCGTTATATCAATATTATGATCTTTATTAGTATTCTATGATTCCAGCCTATTCGGGGATTTCTCTTGAAGATAATATTTATCTGCTGGTCTCGTAACTTTATCAGAAACTTATTGAATTTATCCTAAATTGAGCGTTAAAAATAAACACTTCAGTTTACAGCCAAACAGGCTTTGAATGTAAATTAAGTTCAGTTATTAGCTCGGGCTAGGATACCCTCCACTGCCAGACTCAAAGGTTATCAAGTCTAGTGGCCTTAGCCAAGTGCCACTTAGCAATTGTCAAAAGCGTCTGTAGAGCGCAATATTGTCAACTGATAGACTAGGCAATAAATACATGCCAAGACAAATCAAAGAACATTAGCGTCAGTTGCCAACTTATCCAATATTGCTCAAAATGCCTAGACAAGGGTCATGAGACAGTTAAATATTGTATTGACTACGTGATAGATAACAACATACAGGTGAAGAACATGAGAGTTGATGTACAGTCAAATATTACACCTACTGAATACACTACAATTGAAAAAGAAATTGACTGTCTATATATTATGTATACAAGTATATGTAATATGACCAATATTATGGTGCACTATATTGCATTCTAGATTTGTCACTCATTTAATTCACAAAGTAAAACGGCTCACTCAAGTATCATCCACACGTGAAACACGCGCAAATTAGGTACAAAACATTTAAGGTCATGCCACTTAAACTTGAAATCCTATATTCAAATTGCTTTAATTTAATTAAGCTACCCTTTTCACATGAAACACTTGGGCTATTCACATGTGCGAACCGTCGTGGTGTGAAACGAGACACATTTCACGATACCAACTTTTGGATATGTAGTGTATCTGAAAAATGTAAGAATACTTATTGCGTAAGTTCTTCCTCGTTTTGTTTTTAAAATAAACTGTCTTTCCTGAGACGTATTACATAAATTTAGTTACTAAAGTCATAAATCAACCATTATCTAATGCAAATAATTTTAAGCAAATGCAATCCTAAACAAGTAGAAGGAGGCGATGGGTGTCGGGACTTCGGGAGTACGTCACTCTCAGACTCTGCAACTTCTGAAGATATTACGTAAACAATGGCTAAATCTGTAACACGACTAGNCTGATAGATTTAGCTGCTTCATATCCTTTTTGTTGATCGAAGTCTGTTTACTGACTATAATATTCTAAGATTACTCTCATTTGTGAAATACAATACCGACTTTCAAATGGTTAAACAACAAAGATTCCTTACTAAGTCAAGCGTACATATTAATTTAATTATAACAAAGTGCGCACAGAATCCTGTTTACCGTAATAATGTATCAATCTACGTCAAAGAGAGAGATATATTTGATTTAAGAGTGCCCAATAGGCATTGTAGAGATAAAATAAATCACAGCCCAGTATCGTAGGTTATCTTAAACAGACATGTAATACAAAGACTAGCATTATGGAGGATTGTTCAGTAGAATCTACTTTTAACGACATAAAAGGCACAATACAATAACTTGTGTGAAAGATGAATAAATGTAGTTTCGATGAATGGACGACCTAAATAAAAATATACAAATCTAATGGCCTTTGTATTTTATAGGTTTGAACTCTGAGTATGGACTGTAAGTCAATTGAGTCATACTCGTACATACAGACAATGATATGTCAACCTTAACACATGAATCTGCAAGTACCTAAAATGCGTCTACTACTAAACCCAAAGAAAATTATAATACTTGTATGATTTTAATACTAGTCGGCCGTTTGGCGTAGTGGTTCAGAACGGATTACTATGCCGAGAGGTCCCGGGTTCGATTCCCGGTAGGGTTTCTGCTCGAGCTTTCTCGAACTCGAGAAATTTGGCTTCATTCGAGACGAGAAAAAAATTACCGGGGCTCGAGAATTCTCGAGTTTCGATTTTGAAGCTTTAATATTCTTGAAAGCCTATTTTCTTAGACAAAAGTAAGTTTTTAATTATTTAATAGGTCAACGTTGCTTTAAGACTGGCCTAGTCTTTCCTTTTTTAACTGATTTGATTTGCAAGTAATGATCTTAATCGAAACTAAGTAATAATAATGTTCACCAACGAGTATGATATATTATTATGTATTTTTAACTCTGACTGATGTAAAGACTGAAAAACTTGTTAACTAGACAGTTACCTTACCTAACAGACGTTAGGTTAGGTACTCGTGCCTCCTCGTAAAGTTTATTCAAGTCGTTATCTGTAAGAAATTTAAAAATTTATTAAAAAGTTTTTTTTGTTCATAAAAAAAACTATTTATCGCAATTTTGCTATTTGGACTTGTGTTCTTTAGAAAACAAGTGATTCAATTGTAGCTCCAGATTTTTATTGTTATTTATCCTTAAAGTACACGAGACTTTATGACTTTTGTTATGATTATTAGTAAATATTAATTTATGAAAGAAGATTTTATTTTTTGTTTCATTCCTTACCAAATAAGTGGTACTAAATTCTAATATTGATTGTTGTGCATAAAAGTAGGTATATTAGATTAAAAAAAACCTGTTTTTATTAAATTTCAACCGATTTCAGCAGTTTTCATTAAAAGACTCGAGACCCGAGAAAACTCGAGACTTTGGCCTCGAGAATTCTCGAAACTCGAGAAAAAAAATAAGTCGAGAAATCAGAAACCCTAATTCCCGGCCGGGCAGAAATTGAAATGATGGATTTTAATTTCTGTGACGGGTCTGGGTGTTACTATGTATAATATGTATGTATTTACAAAAAAAGTATTTAAGTATGTTTATATCCGTTGTCTAGTACCCATAGTACAAGCTTTGCTTAGTTTGGGACTAGAGGCGCAGTGTAAAATGTCCAATGATTATATTATTTAACTATAACGTAGAAAATATTTCAATATCGTAAAGATTTATGCCTAAGTTCTGTTTGCTACTAAAAACTATTCTTAAAAAGTGTTATTTAAGGTTTGTCTGTAGTACCAATCATTTATTTTCTTGAGTAATAAAGTAAAAAATTATAAAAAAAATATCGAGTGAGGGTTCTCATATTTTATTGCTATTATCACTATTATTAAGAAAAAAAAAGTCAGTATTGCGAGAAGCGCGATAAAGGCCTTCTGTGATCTACAGAAATTGTGTAAAGCCAAAAAGCTAGTAAGCTATAAATAAATGGCAAAAGCGTCTACTAACTATCTAGAACAGTATTAGTTTATTAACAGACTAAAGACACACAAAAGCTTTTTCAAACTAAAATATTCTCTAACATACTCAAACAGAACAATAGCAGGTACCATAGTAGCGTATATAAAAATGAAATATAACGGCTAATCATATTCAGTCACTCACATTTGGCAAAGCCTACACAGAAAAATGCTGTAATCATCTCTCTGTCACATCCTTTTAAGATCCTCATACACATACGGGCGCGCAATTATTCTAAAATATTATAAGATCAATAATTCCTTCAGATGTTACGAGTATGATCAATTGCAAAATTTTAATTTATGTAATTGGGTAATTATTTGTTCAGATTCGAACGGCCATGGATCTCATTTCTCAGAAACAGTAATGTAGGTACTCGTAATAGCCTTAGCATAATTATTTGAATTCCCTGAAGTTAAATTAGAAACATTTTGTATGGGTTCTCAATTATCTTATTGAATATAAAATTATGTCTATTACAGTAATACAGCTTTAAAAGCATTCCATTGCTGCCTACCAATCGGCCAAACTGGAAATCATTGTAGGAGGTATATGTTCAGCAGTGGACGTCCTGTGGCTGATGATGATGATGAAAGCATTGCGGGAAGCGAAATTGAATTTAGTCAATCTATTTTTTAGCAGAAAAAGTAAAATAAACACACGAAAAGTTCTTGTAAAAGTTACAAGATCTCCGAGGATGTCAGGGTCAGCGGGAAACGTTCGTGCCCAGGATTTTCATCTAAATGGCACCGGAAATTAACTTTCGGAGGTTTGTACGATTAGCTATATTATTATACCTAAGAGATTTTAGGAAAATACTTGTCATATAAATCACTTCTTTATTTTTGATGTCCGGTGAAGTACCCAGCCGTTAATGTCTCATTGAATAAGTTCCTTTGATCATTGTACAAGAAGAATTTTTAGCTACGAATGAAAGAATATTCTAGATGCTAAATAATATTA